TGTGAATGACATTTTAAGTAGCAGTTTTTGGTTTTTTAATGTTTTTATCTTGATTGTCTTTGTTAGTTTATAGTATTGTAACATGTAACGTTTCAGTGTCTCCTCATAATGTTTTTGTATTATTTCCATTTTAGCTTTGTAAATAAGGGTCTTAAGGCCTTTTTGTACAATAAAGCATTTTTTGATTTGATTTGATTTTAAATACGGACTCTTATTTTCTATTTTAGATTTTAAGAGTTTCTGATGTCCCGAAACCAATGAGGTATTGCACTTATTCGAAAAATATACAGTGAGCATGTAAAGGTTGGGGTGGAGCGTATAAAATACATATTGAAAAGTTAGAAAAAATTCAAAAGGTTTTCCTAAGAATAATGATCAATAAAAATCGCCTTTATTCAAGTAACAAAACATATGAAAAGAGTAAGCTAATGGACATTAATAAATTATATACCTTCAAATTGTTAATATATCAATTCAGATATAGGCACAAACTAAATATGATTGATCACCCACATAATACCCAACAAAAGTTGAAACTGAGGGTTGCAACTATTAAAACCAAAAAGACAATTGCCCAAAGAACAATTTCCTTTCTCGGGCCTTACATCTACAGATTTTTACCAGATTTTCTTAAGGATGTCACTATATTGAAATTGTTTAGAAGTATTTTGAAGAAATGGATTCTTGAAACTCCCCGTACGCTTTTTAATGAACTAATAAATGGAAAACTCAAATAACATTACTTGCATATCGAGTTGCATATTCAATCTTTAGGTTCAAAGAATCAGATTCTCTTTATGAATCTTGTTTTTTGAAGTGCAGAGCGACAATGGATTTATACAACATAGTGCTACTGAGGTATTTTTTTGTTTTTTTATTATTTATATACTTATAATTATTGTTGTAAATTTATGGAAATGGGTATGCTCCCGGGTATGCTAAGGGTCAAATTTAGATTGTTTTGTGTTTTCTAGTACTTCCTATGACTACTTACTATTTTGTTTCAACATTTAAACGCGGTCTGCATAACTGAATGGAATAACAAGAAAAGTCTGTGCACAAGTCCATCAGGACTTCAGCAGAAATGTTCTTATTTATTTTCCTTCTGGTTTCTAATTACATAGTATAGCTCGAAGTATTATTGTTATATTATTTTTTATTTGAATTTTGATGGGTACAAGTTTTATGTATGCATCTGTGTAATAGGTAAAAGATCAATTGTATCCAAATTTAGAGTTTAGGTTCTGTATCACTGAATAAGAGGAAGGAACTCTGCGTACAAGTCCTCGATTAGAACTTCAGCAGAACACTTCTTTCTTTTTTTGTAAGGCATAGCCTAGAAAGATTAGAAGTTTTACGTAAGGGGTACTTACTTATTTTATTTTATTTTATTATACTTATTAAATTGTGCTTACTTATTATGTACTTATTATGTAATTATTTTTGTAAGGGGAAATTAATGGAAATAAATAAATAAATAAACTAAAAGCTATAAAATATACAGGGTGGATATTTTTCAAAAAATCTCGGACACGTCAATTTTTGATTTTTTTGGCCGTTTTTTTGATGATAATATCATATAACAGGGTGACCCAAAAACAAGTTATGACAGCTTACTTTATTTTTTCAAATGAAAACACCAATTTTTTTATTCCATTTTTACATTGTACGTTAAATTCTGAACATATTTCATGTATCATGTTCGACATGTTTTATACCTATCTTCAACTGTTTCGGAAATATTGACAGTTGAATATTGACTTTTTTGCAACTTTGACAGGCTGTACAACCTAAACGGTTAATTTTAAGGGAAAACCCATTTTACATTCCTATCTTAGATTTTTATAAACTATCATTTGACACCAACTTTGAATTTAACTGGAGACTAAATTTAATTGGAGTTTTTAATCATGGAGAAACATGTAAGAACGTATGATCGGTTTTGCTTTAAAAATAAACCGTTAAGGTTCTACAGCCTGCCAAAGTTGCATAAAAGTCAATTTCCAACTGTCAATATTTCCGAAACAGTTGAAGGTATAGGACATGACATATGAAATAGATTTAGAATTTAACGTAGAATATGAAAATGAAATAAAAAATTGCTGTTCTTATTTAAAAAAATAAAGTTAGCTGTCATAACTTGTTTTTGAGTCATCCTGTATACATGGTATTATCATCAAATAAACGACCACTAAAATCAAAAATTGACGTGTCCAAGGTTTTTTGAAAAATATCCACCCTGTATATTTTATAGATTTTATGCCAACTTTTACGTGATCACTGTATATTATTGGCACTTTCCATAAGAACTTAATGTGTTAGAGAGAGACAGAGAAGAGAATTTTGGCGGAAAATTTGCTAAAAAGTAATAAAAATAGTTTCTTGAAAAAAGCAATACGTCATAGGTTTTGGGACATCAGAAACTCTTGAAATCTGAAATAAAAAATCTAGGTCCGTATTTAGAAAAATGAAGTTGATGATGGCCGCCCAAAGACGAAACATCGAATCTGAAATTTGGTAGCAAGGGAAAAACGTGACAATGATGAAGTGACATTTATTTTGAAATAGCTCTTCAAATGGACTCGGGAGAAAATAGAAATGATTTTGCAAAATTTCGGTTTTTCCGAATATCTTCGGAAGTATTCGGAATTTTTCAAATTTCAAAACGGCATTTTATTGGTCATAAAATTGCGCAATTTTGCCATAATTTAACTGACCCCGTATGTCTTATAGTTTCCAATATCTCAATGGTCACCCTCGAGTTTGGGACACCCTGTATACTCAGAAATATTTTCCTAAAATAGAGTCTCACGATCAGTATAGGTTGAAATATGAACGAAATTCCTAACCTTAATAGTTGAGAACTTATAAACCGACGCGCGCTCAGCTGCAGACCCATTATGTTTTATTCACACTTCTTTTTGAAATGTCAAAAAAAAAATAGTGGGGGTAACATTTATAACCAATAACCCTGTACCTATATCAGTGCAGATGTTCCTGATTCTGATGTCACCTTTTTGACTTTTCAATTTTTCATGTTACAATACTTAGAATTTATCATTCTGAATCGTTTTTGGGCATACCTATCTAAATTTTTCCATCTTTTCTAAAGCTGCATACTTACTCTCACAATGCCTGAATAAATGAATTTCAGGCAAGTGAGCATAAAGCTTTCCTTATAGTATGTACTGGGTGATTGTCTATATTTTGCACCCACACACCCACAAAGCTTTTTTATTTGTTTGAAGAGATAACCAAAAATGTCAAATGTGAAAGTTGTAGGTAATATCAGAAACTTTGCAATGAAGTTCGTTACAAGCGAGGTTACAAGTATGCAGGGTGTGTCACAAAAGTGTGGCAACGCAAATTTAGACTTTTCTAAATAAACACCCCATATATTATTGACTATTGACCCATTGGATTAGCCTTTCAAACCTGATTCCAAATATATCTAGGTTTTTTAGGTTTATTCCTAATAGGTAGTCCAGGAGAAAATAAAATGGACTATGACTATGAGGAATAAGCCTAAAAAACCTAGTATATTTGGAATCAGGTTTGAAATGCTAATTTTTTGCAAATAGGATTTTACAAGACCATTTTTATATTTTTTCCTAGCCTATATATATTACTAAATTTTGTTTAGTAATATTAATTTGGCCCATATAGGCTTGATAGTTGTCCCGTGTTTTATTTATTTTATATTTATTCCATAGTTTACAGTGTTTTTGCTAATTTCTTTCAAAATATTTCCATTTATCCCTGGTTTTTGTGGATTTGTTTCCACAGGTTCGTCAAGAATGTATTTTTCAATCGTACCATTCAGTATATTTCGAAAGTTTTCAAAGATAGGTTTCTCATTATTTACTGGTTGTAGTCGGATAAAGTGGCTGATTTCTTCATAATTTGCAGTGTAGAAATTCTTTCTTACAATTTTTTGTGTTTGTTTGGGTGGAATTTTTAGTTTACTTTTTGCCTTTATTATAACAGGGTAACTACAGCGAAGGGGCGGTTCTGAGCAAACATTTTAGGGCCACTGGTTAAAAAGATATCTGAAAGAGAACTTTGGCCGTTTCGGTATCTTGTTGGCAAATCAATTAATTAATTGCTGTGCGCCTATTTCTTGATATTTGTTCATAAAATCCTGTGGTTTTGTTTTATCTGTTGTTGCAATTGAGAGTTCATGTTTGGGTAGTTGAAGTCTCCTACAATAATTATTGGATTCTTAAAGGTGTATGCTTTTTTTTATAATATCTCTATCTATCATGTGAGTGTTGGTCTTTTCGTTGGTATGTTCTATACCTATCTTCAACTTCTGACATATTGCGAATTGAAAATCGAAATAAGTATTTTAATTTATTAAACACGTTCCCGACACCTGAGGTACATAATAAAGATCCCAACAGCCGTCATGTACCAGACGTGGTACACCGTGCCTTGTATATCCAATCTAATTTAAAAATGTGACGGCTGCACAGAGATCTCGAAAAATAATTTACGGCTGTAAGAAAAGGTGGTACATGATCCTTGGTACATGCGCTTCCAGCCAATTTTTAAATTTATTTTCTCAAAACAACTTTTACAAGACTTATAATTTTTTCTCATTAAAGAGACACCCAGTTTATAGGTCTGGCAAGTGAGCATCTTACAGGCCAATTTTAATGCAGCAGAATGAAATGTCTAGAAAAGTCTAAGGTTAAATAGCGTAGAAGAAAATTAACATGATTCATATAGATTTGAAATCAAACTTAGATGAAAATTAGCTTGATCGAACAGTTAATTGGTTAATGAAAAATACCTAGTCGAATGGACTGTTCATAAAAAGACAAATAATTTTCTTTTAATCTACAAGTATTACCTTCATCATATAACAATTTAAAGGTACTTATGTGAAAAACAAACTGTCAGAAGAGGTCTGATTAGTGGTTTCATTTAATGATTGTATTTTCATGTCAATATTGATACTTTTTGAAGTAAATAAAAAGACGAATCTATTTTTCTAGGCCAATGAAAAACATGCCACTGACAACCACACAGACGATTCGTCCCAAGATTCTGAGGACATTAAAGAAGGAGAACAAGTTGACAAACTAGCCGAAAACAATGTAGATGGCGAAAAAAATGATAAGTCAAAGGGGGAGAGTACTGAAGGGACTGAAGGCGAGTCGGACCAGGAGTCTGAAACTTCTGAAAAGAAAGAGGACGTAGATGGTGCTAAAAATGAGGATGATGAAAAACCTGAAGTATGAATTTAGGCATTTACCAAATTAACTTATGATTTTATTTTTTTTTTCTACAATTAGGATAAAGAGAAAAAATCTGAAGGTGACAAAGCCTCAGATAAAACTAAAAAAGAAGAAAAAGATGAAAAATCTGAGGATGATGAGGGAGAACAAGAAGATCAAAAAGTAGAATCTGACAAACCAGCCAAGGATTCCAAAAATGCTAAAGATTCTAAGCCAAAAGAAGAAAAAGCTAGTACAGCCAGCGAAAAGGACGAGGAAGAGGACGAAGAGGACCAGGAACCTGAAGACGAAGAGGATGAAGCATCCAATAAGAAAGACGAAAAGAAAAGCAAGAAAAAAGGTGTTCCATTATTAGACCAGCCGCTTGAGACTTCTGGTAAAAGGGAACGCAAAAACGTACAAAAATTCGATGAGGAAGATAACAAAAAAGAACCTCAAAAAATTGAGTTCGAAGAAGGCGCTGGGACACCCTTGGGTGAAATTCCCAGAGTTGAAGCATCTATCAATCGCTACAAATCAGATGAGCTCAAATTCTTGCACAAGTTGTTGTTCAAAGGACAAGCCACCAAGGCCATGTTTAAGAAGAACATTAGAAAGTTTAATGGATTTTCTTTTGAAAAAGATTCTGATGAATACAAGAAGAAAATTGATGTTCTTAAAAAATCAGAGGTAATTGGTAATAATGTAAAATAAAATCCTGTATGTCATATAAATAAATTCATCCAATAATGTAACACTTTATGAACCTTCTGTTAGTACTGCTAATTAATCAATTTTTAATTTCATAGGTCAAAGTTCTTAAAACAACATGCGAAATATTGGACCTGCAGAAAACAGGAAACAGAGACGAAATCAGCGAGAGGGTAATGGAATTCCTAATGGAACCTAAGGATTCTGGCAAACCTGTTGGTGGTACTGGCAGACCAAAACGTGCTTCAGCAGTGAGGGCAAATAACAGAGGTAAATTAAATATTCGCTGAAATTTTTGTATTAGATAAAACGATTTTGTGGTGAAAGTCGCCAGGGTTTATTAGGCTACTGTAGAAGTTGATACTGGTAAAAATATGAGCTTTATATTTTAGGTTTAATACAAACTTTATCTGTAGGGTATTCGTCGCACGATGATTACTCCAGTGACGATAAGCAGGCCTCAAGGTCTAGGCGCGATAAAGGTACTTGTCAAATATACTCTTTTTGCTTTGGTTGACATTAACGTAGCTTTTAGTAAAACATCAAATATTCACTCTGCTTGTGTTGCAAATGGTCAAGGAGTTTTTTAGATAACTTTCAAATGTTGCAGATTTGTTCTAAGTTTGTGTTTTATGAATATTAACAAAACATTCAAAAAAATCAAGTGTTTAATCAATTTTGAACTTAAAATGGAATGTCCTTTTTCTCATATTTATTTTTTAAACTATATAATTTCACTAGGTATGAGTGATGAAAAAATTCTTTAATAAGTATGTAATAGTTTATGATTTTGATATGCAAGTCATATTATGCATGATTAGAAATGTTGAAAATATTAGTAAACTTGAACAATATGGAATAATTCCCTACATTTCATTTTGATTCAAGACATTTCAAATGGTGAGACTGTCATGAACTAATGAGTGTGGTAAAGTGAAGTTTTTTACACGCTCCTAGAAAAAACATGCTCTAAACCTAAATTCAAGGAAAACTAATTAATATTTTTTGGGTTTCACAAGTATAAGATCAAGGGGCATAATACAAAAAATAATTACAGCTCCAGTTCACAGAATAATATTCAATTATACTTTTGGCACGTAAAGGCCATCAAAATATGTCTCGAAATTCTATATCCCAGTCCCCCAGTACCAGCCAATATCGATAAAACCGGAGCTAAAACGAAACAGTTTCAAGGAATAAACATTAAAATTAAAACCGAATGCCATATTTGACCTGAGAAATATGACACCCTGTCTTGTGTTTTAAAAAGGCGGTTTTTGTTTTTAGTTTATGCTCCACAGGAAAAATGATTAATTTATGGGTCTGGCTGTCTGGAATTTTCATGGGAATTTTTTAAAGGCGAACGCCTGTAACTAATCAGGGTCTTTTGACTTTTATGCTTTACAGCAATTTTTTTCCTAAAACGATTCAGTTTTCGAAATTTATGTAATATCTATTTGCAAATTAAATCGCGAAAATGGCTATTTGGCTGTGACGTCATTACATAGTAAATGTCAAATTTTCGTATAGTACAATTTCGCGCAGTCACGTAAATAATAGGTCTATGTAGTTGCTTGCTTCTTGTATGGACCATGTACCACCCATCCTAACCTTGTTTTACTTAAGACTGATTGGTCGAATTTTGGATGTATAATTTCTTGGGCATAGAGGGTATTTTCTTGACCAATTAGAATCTTAGGGGAAGCATTAACAACATTTTTCAAAGTTTCTTCTCCCAGATAATCATATTTTGTGTACATATCTTCAAAATCAATTTCTTGGCTTAGTTCTTGCATTCTTGATTTTACATTTTTAGATTCATTGACTTCGGAAATTTCAAGGGATAATAACATTGTTATTTTCTGTTTTTGATACCTTATTTGCCCATTGTGAACAAATTGACGAAGTAGGTCCTTTCAGTCTTGTCTTCCAATAAGGCAACCTTTAATTTTGCAAATGGTAACATGTTTTTGTGGCATGTCCGTCTAGGCATTTGTAACGCAGAGGTGATTTTTTTCCAAATATTTTCGTTTCTCTTGTTTCCAAGACAGGGTGTTAAGTTTTTCAAAAAAAAATAGTTTTTTATTAATAGCCGAAAAGAGCTTTAGCTGATTTTAATGAAATTTTCACGTTTTATTTCAACTATTATCAGACATCTACTGGACCAATTAGATTTGATCCAGAATTTCCACGGGCGTACCAAGCGAACAAGTCGGTTGTTTTTGTGCAGAAAAAAAAAATCACGCTTTAGTTTTTGTACGGTTTTTACTGATTATTCAGATAGATACACTACAAATACAACAGTTCAGTTCAGTTCACTTTATTTGATCTCTTTAAAATATAAAAATACATTTTGTACCCTTTCAGGTGTAGATCACGTCAATATAAAAAAAAAATAGACAAACAAATTAAACATTTTTGTCTCTTGAATTTTTCAATTATCTCGCTTCGTTTTCGCGAAAAAATTACAATACCATACCTCGGCACGTCTCCGAACTCCATAAGTAAAGATAAAAATTCATAGGAATTAAGGTACATCACCCATTCATTGAGTGACAAGGACATAAATTCCATTTGAGTTTTTTTTTTTTTTGGTCGCTGGGTAAGCGCCTGGAAATTCTGGAAAAAATCTAAAAGTTCCAGTAGATGTCTGATAATGGTTTAAATAAACCGTGAAAATTTCATTGAAATCGGCCAAAGCTCTTTTGGGTTATTAATGAAAAGCTATTTTTTTTTTTGAAAAATTTAGCACCCTGTATCTTGGAAACAAAGCTTTTCCGGACCTATATCCATAGGAACTTTTTAAATTATTTTCATGAATAATCTCTGCCCTTGAAGTTTGTAACGCCCTTTCGGAAACACCTTGTATATCAAAAATAATATTGGCCCCAATACAGAACCTTGAGGTACCCCATGTAACACCATCATCTCACCAGACAACTTACCTTTAAAAAGCACCCTTTGGGTTCTCGACAAATACGATCTGATCCAATCCAGTGTCCTTCCTCTGAACCCATACCTCTCAAGTTTACTAGGCAAAATCGAATGATCTACGCAGTCAAAGGCCTTCTTCAATATAACAAAAAACGGCCGATGCATATTCCTTCACATTGAGATTGGTATAAAGTCTTTCCAGAAATGAAAAAATAGCGTCGTTAGTGCTACGCCGGCCTTAAATAATAGTTATTTATGTATCAAGGGAATTATGCAGGTGTTAATACCCCAGGGCAACGTTTGTGTCCCGAGGGCCTCCGGCCCGAGGGACACCAATTGCCCGTGGGTATTAACTCCTGATAATTCCCGTGGTACATAGATAATTTTATATCCTACTGAATTTACTGTATTCTGTCTATTTTTATAAAGGAATAAGCCATAAATCAAAATTTCTATTTTTTGTCAAAGTGTTACCTATTCAAGGTAAAAGCGGGAGTTATGGAAATCCTTAACTCCCTTGGGAGTTATGATATCCTTAACTCCCTTCCTTAACTCCCTTGGGAGTTATGAAAATCCTTAACTCCCTTGGGAGTTAAGACCCTGTTTATGATTATCGTAACCAAGGTATTATATGGTTTTAATAGTTCAGTAGGATATAAAAAAATAAATAAACCTAGTTTTTTTTTAGTGGAACTTTTGGAAAACAGCTTCCAAAAATGTCTGTCATTCTGCTATGGAAAGCATTCAGTTGAAATTTAGCGTTAATCGTACCCTGCCATGAAGACTCACGACACTTTCTCTTTCTTCCGAAAGTTCTTTTTTGTAGATAATCTCATCATACTCTTTCCCTTACAATATCTGTCCCTATCATCTTCCACCTCACATTTACAAACTACTGCCTCATGATCCGATAAACCTGCAGAAACAACACCAAACTGTATATCTTTCAAGTTAAAATTCAAACATAGTCAATCATTGTAGAAGACTGCTTAGTTATACTTGTGGGTCAATTTAGGTGTGATCGTAGTCCAAAGCAAATAAACAACTCCTTAAAGGGGGTGTGACCCTAAAAAACGACTTAAGCTACTTAAATCAAGAAAAAAATTCTAAGATCTATTGTGAAAACCGCAGTCCTATATTTAAAATAGTCTCCGAGAAAATTTATTTTGAAGATAAATTATGCAGGAGCTTGTGATGTCACAACCGCCGAAATCGCAGTCTTATGTTCGTTCAGTCGTAAGTGAACCGTAACCTATACTTTGAGTTATTGCACTTTGCTCTGGGAGATAATTGTCTTTTGTTTTGGAAAATTCTTACACGTCTTGCTACTGTCCCTGATAATTCAGTGTGACGTCACAAACGCCTAGTTGTAACTTTAAACCGCCCTAACTCGAAAACGGACCATCGTAGCAAGATTTTTTTGCACTAAAACTTTCATTTTTGGGTCACACCCCCTTTAAGGCATTGAGTATTACTTCTAGAGATTGCTGAAATATACAAGTGAAAATTCAAAAACTTTTTCCTCCAATAATCCATCAAATTTGCTTACTCGACTGCACATATAGTAACTTCAGTAGCTCCTCATTAACAAGGCACATTGTACCATCATGTGAGCTTTCAGATCGACAATATTTGACAATTGCCAAGTAAGCCGGAATAAACAGCCCTTGGCTCCCTAGGTCTCAACCAATGCTCCAATAACATAACCATAGAAGGAAACCCCATACTTTCCAAAAATATAAATAGTTCATCAACCTCATTCCTAACAGATTGGACATTTAAAGAAACTAAATTGAATTGCTCTGACCCCCCGGACAGTCTAAAAAATGTATAGATGATTGGTTGGAGTTTCCTACCATATCCGCGTCATAGCAACTGACATCACATGTTTGAGCCAAACCAGCATTTGCCTCAGTACCAACATACACCCCAACAACATCCATTCCACAATTTGTCTTCAACTCGTGTAAGGGACTTCCCAAAAAAATCTTTCAAGTGATTTCTAAAAAGGGCTGAGCCTCTGTAGTTGTCACTGCCTTATCCTGATTTAAGCCATATTCATAAAAGGGTGGTATCTTTCCATAAATAACATCCACAATACAATTGACAATCTTTTTCTTTCCGAAGTAGATTATTCTGCCCACCTATGTTACTTTCTTAACATTAACATTTCTCAAAACTATCTTGCTGTAAATTTCAATATTAATTCTGTTTATGATTTGGTTGAGATAAAAATTATTATTTCCTGTCTTTGGAATTGATAGCAATATTACATTAGTAAATTTAGATACATTCATAATAGCATCAATTAACTCCTATGATGAATTTATTGCGTTTATAAATTCACCCTTCATCATTACAAAGTCATTCAATGAATGTAAATCCCTTTGCTAGAGATTCTATGTTTGAGGTTATGTCTTCGAACAAGGCATTTGTGACATTTTTCACCTCTACCGTTTTATGAATAATTATTCCACCAAAACCTCTAACCTTTGGTACACTGACCTGTATACTTGTGTCTCGTTTGGGGTTGTGAATATTCCTACCT